GAGAGAGAGAGAGAGAGAGAGAGAGAGAGAGAGAGAGAGAGAGAGAGAGAGTCAGCCAGCTCCTCTACCCACCCGAGGCTGAGGGAGGCTGATGATCAACAGACGATCATGCTAAGCTTGCTAGCTGTTCCACCCTCTGACTGCTGCAGGGGCGTGTCTTAGAGAGAGGCTTTTATACCAGAACACAGCCGCTGTGATGAAACCGTGGAGAAGACACGTCACCGTGGAGAGCCATTAACCAATATGCAAATTAGCCTGCAGTACCACTGCTCCACCCATATGAGCAGCAAAAACACGTTTTAGACCAAATATTACAGATTTGAACAAATATGCACAAAAACATTAAAATTAGCACAGAAACAGTACTATATAACATTTTAGACACATTCTAGGCAGTTTATCAGCTAAAAAAAGTTAATTTTGGGGTACGTTACTCTTTAAAAACGTCTCTTCCTTACTAGTAGAGAAGATGTGTTGGAGGTGCCATCTAGTGGCAAACTTTGTCATGCAACCAATTCAGTGAGACACTTAAACATTTTTGTAATAAAAAATAAATAAACTAACGAGTGCTTTGAGTGCTTTTTAAAGTAAAAGAAAAACAAATACAGATTGACACCTGTTGCCCCATCTGGCCTAAAAAAAGCTGAATGTAGAATTCCTTTTTATTTTTGCCTATGCACGGTTCAACTGATTTAGGAAAGTTGATGGAAAAAAGTGACTGATTTGCTCTTTTTTTAAACTACCAGCATGTGTAAAGAAGGACAAGTCACCTGCGACATGTTCAGCTGTGTATCGACCTGTCACTGGTCTGCGTGGTCTTCGTGGTCAGCATGTGATGTAAGCTGTGGCGCGGGGCTACAACAACGTTACAGGTCAGCAAGTCAAGCTCAATTAACCTTTAAACTGTCTTGTTTTTAAACTGAAAACTGGCCTCCAGGTAAATTATTTGTTCTTTCTACATGGATCATTTTAAAGGGGCAATATCGTGTAAAATTAACTTTTTTGAGTTTTAGATGATGATGATGATGATGCCTGTATTGTCGTTGTACAGAGCACAATGAAATTACATTTAAGATCACCCATTCAAGAAGACACACATGACAAAACATGGGGGAACAGGTAACAGGTCATGCGGCAACCAGCAGGAGTCGCGCTACATTTAACAGCTGGAAATACACAATAGGAAAGTTGAGTTTAAAAAATTGCTCTGATCCCATGTTTACATCAGAAACATAAGATCATATGCACAAAAAACGACTTGCGATAGAGCAAAACAGGCTGGGGCAGGGGAGGGACCTTAGGTTAGGTAGCACATGAGATGGAGTTCAGTGGAGTCGGTGACGTTGAGGGTGGGTGTCCATGCTAGGACCCGACCTTAGCCCCCGCCAAAGTCCAGAGTCCATGATGTTACCGTCTCTTGCTCGGGTCACCAGAGTTCAGAGTTGCCTCCTCCTTGGCCTTGGGTTCACAGGCCAGGTCCAACACAGGTAATGGGGTGGGAGGGAATCAAGCCCTTGTTGACACATCATCCTTGGGGCGTTTCAGATAAGCATAGCAGTCAAGGCCATGCCGCTGGGAGTCAATAGATAAACATAATTGTTTTGGGACAAAGCAGCCTTGAATATCCTGCTGCTTTTAATGTCTTTACTGCATATCTGAAAGTGGCAAAAAATTCCAATCAGCCAAATTCGGGGTCCTCCTCGCCTCTCACCGTCTGGAGCTTCACCCAGATGTAATCCTACATGCCAGAAGCTCACTTCTGGGCTGCAATTCTCGTCAGAATCACATCCAGTTTGCTATTTATCTCCCCCAGCAAATGAGTCTATGTGCTCCCAGCCCGGCAGAAACCTTACAGTATGTTATCCTCTCATCAAACACATGCACAGAGTCTTGCTTTGACTCATTCATGCATGTTTGAGAAATCCTGAAGTGTCCTGAGGCAGCCAGGCAGGGGAGCAAAAACGACCGGTTGGGACTAGAACTGCCTTTTGGGATCAGCTCCTCCTCTGGGCTGTGTCTCCAAGCTGAGCTTCCTCATCACAGAGCACACACACTCACCTGGCCCGTGCTGAAATGGGCGGGACAGAAACAGGAGGTTCTTAAAGAGACAGAGGCCAATTTCAAGGCGTTTAGAAACAGATAAGATGAGAAGACGTTTATTTTATATTTAAACATATACACAACATTTTAATAACAACTAATGGTGACATAGTTACTTTATTATGGTTTAGAATTTAAATAGAGAAACACATAATATTGCCCCTTTAAAAACCAAAGTAAGTTACTCTGTCTTTACACACACAACACATTTCAATGCAAAAAGTAAGCAAAAATGTGTTTGGTAGATTATTTCTTTGTTGTAACAATGCTTCTTGGCAATGAATCTTATAACAGGCACCTGACTGGCAGCACCTGGGGGTACCAGAAGCTTAGAACAAATTTCAATAATAAGCAGAAGAACAAGCTGTTTGTCTGAGAAGATTTGGCAATTTTTTCATGTGCTTAACCCACATGCTCAGCTCTGCTGCTCATCCCACAAATGCATGTTCCTTACAAATGTGGCACCATTTAAAAGCAAAATTAACAGGCTTTCATACAGTATAAAACTGATAACCAAATGGCATTGTTACAACAAATAAATAATCTATTAAACATAAATTTTCTTATTTTTTGTGATAAGTACTGTATTCTGCTTGAAGAGGACTTGTGCAAAATTCATGTTTTTACTTTAAGTTTAATTTAGTCTCTCCTGGTGCTACAAAGATATCTTCATAGTTTATTTGGGTCATTTTTTTAGCTCTTTCGGTGTTATCTATTTTCTATGATGTTTTCGGAACAACTACGTCAAATTATCTGCAACTGAACTGCCAAATACAGTCTGGACTTACCAACTACAATTTCCTTGTCTAAATTCTCCTCTTGTTCTGGGTCAGGACATTTTTTTTATTAAATTGTAAATGTAGAAAACATAATCCCCTCTCTCAAACTGGAGTGGACCAGTCTTGAAGCCAGAGGAGGGCGGGTCTTGAACGCCTTAAAGGAACAGTAAAAAATTAGCTGCTTTGAGACACACATCTGAAAAGGGGTGAAAGGTAAGCTGGTAAAGTTAAAATAAGGAGGAATTCAGACCAAAGCATTGCAGTTCTACTTTTTAAATACCCCAGCTAAAGGATTTAAATGTGAAAAGGAAGAATTTAAAAGCATGATATGTGTACTTTAATGGGATGTTTTCTGGTTTTGTATGTCTCTGTACTCATTGGTTGATCCGTCCAAACTGTTTTGCACATTCCATATATCACTTTCACCACAGCCCAATCAGTGACACACAATAAGGTTAGAGGTGGTGAGGTACTGACCCTGTTAATGCCATATTTACACAAACTTAAAAATCCATGACACACTGTTACTATGCTTTTTGTTAATGGTAGGGGAAAGGTTTTCTGTTAACTATAGACTCTGGAGACACATTATACAAATATATTCTTTCAAAAATAACCTCAAGTCATCCTTTTTAACAGCTTACGCAGCACAATTTGTAATTTTTGTATGAACAGGAAGTGCACAACTTCAGCAAATTTGGCCAAATAAATGAATTAAAATGACTTGAATCATACATTAATTACAATTTTAGCATAAATGAACCCCCCCCCCACAGCCTCATCTGATCTCACACTGTAATTTCCCTTCATTGTATCATTCATTCATTCATTCATTCATTCATTCATTCATTCATTCATTCATTCATTCATTCATTCATTCATTCATTCATTCATTCATTCATTCATTCATTCCCACAGGTCTCTCACTGCACACTTACATTTCCCAGCTCATGGACCTATTAAAGACAGATGTAGCTAAACTGCTGCTAAGCTACTTGACAGATGTGGATCAGGTTGAGAACCTTTCTGTCCTCAGGTCTGCAGTAATTCCAGCAGGACCAGTGAGAGTCCAGCCCTGTCCAGGAGACTCCTCTCAGTCCCGTCGCTGTTTCAACCCTTGCCTTCCCGGTACCTCACATTTCTGTTCTCTAAGCTTTTTTTTTTTTAACAGTTTGGTGCACTTAGAACAAATACATATTTTTTATGTGTGTTGCAGTGCTGCCTGATGGGTTGTGGAGTAAATGGACTGGCTGGTCTGAGTGCAGCAAGACATGTTTCAGCCATGTTGACGACGTGGGGATGAGACAACGATTCCGCAGCTGTAATAACACAGCTGTGAACAGAACGCACACACAGTCTCTGTGCAGTGGAGACGATGAAGAGCAGGAGCCTTGCAACACTGTGCACTGTCCAGGTATGACAAATGTAGGCCCACTTAAGTTTATTTTTTTATACATTTAGGTTTAGTAAAAGTGTAAAGTCCTTTAAAACTTGACTGAAGTTGTATTTTTCCAGTGGACGGTAGCTGGTCACTCTGGTCCCGGTGGTCTCAGTGTTCAGCTCAGTGTGACTCAGGCGTCCAGACCAGAGAGAGGTTCTGCAGTTCACCAGCACCACGGCACGGGGGCGGCAGCTGCACTGGACCTCACATACAGACAAGAGACTGCAACTCTCACCCCTGTTTAGGTATTCTACCGCTATGCTTTAGTCTACAAGGAGGCCTGAATCACTGCAAACAAAACTGAAATATCTCCAGGTTTACATAATAAAAATATTCTTGAAAGTTTCCCTGGAGAAACAGCGCTGTGGCTAACCTTAGATACACGGGGATAAAAGCAAATGTCACAACGTCCTGGCGGGGATCCAGAAAGGTCAGAAATATCTTGTTTGAAACCTGAATGTCTCTGAATTCTTTGTTTAATTTTGAAGTAAAAATACTGGATAATGGTAATGGAGACTATGAAAAGAACAATGCGGCATTGACTTTTACTCCAGTGCAGCTGTGTAACAACAGTCTGACCCATGAAGCAGCTGCAGAAACTTATGACTGTTACAATAAAAAGTTCACAATGTTTAAATTCATACAAATAATTTTACTTGAAAGAGATAAAAAATGATTTCTTGTACGACTAAAATCATGAGTATTAATTTAAACAAATTAAATCTTTTTAAAAATGCAAGATTCCGGATTATTTGTTGGCTTTGAGTTGCTCCTGAATAGTGTGACAAGCAAAGTTGAAAAGTAACTAAGTAAAAATACTTTGTTATGGTAAGTAGAAACTTTGGTTATTTGTACTTTATGTTAATAATAATTTTTCAGCCTACTTTTTATTACTTCTACTCTTTACATTTTTCCCACAAATATCGGTTCTTTCTACTCCTTATATTTAAAAGAAATGATAGAAAATACAAAATATATTTATTTTACTCTACTAGTTAGTATTCGTTAGCAAGACAAAGTAGATATACTGTATGTGGCTTAGAATGGAGATGTCTGTGGGCAATGTACACTGTACATATGTATAAGTACTGAAACAGGTAGACTATCCATTCATTATCTTTTACCCGCTTCTTCCTGTCAGGGTCACGGAGGTCACTGGTGTCCATATCCAGCAGTCACAGTGCGAGGGGTAGACTAGTGCATCATAAATTTTTTAACACTAATAATTTTGTATGACATTACAGCCATTTGTAAGATGAAACCTTAAACAATACTTAAAACCTCAAATATTATTTTAGGTTTTCTCTTTTTTTCGCTCATGATATACCAGCTGGAAAAAAAATGCTAGCTTGCAGGGAATATAAAAAAAATTAAGGCTTTTTCTGCACAAAAACAAGTTTTCCTTGTAGCTACTCCTCAAAGAAGGGTTTTTAAAACATCCTTTTATAATATATTTCCAATATTCTGTTTAAACAACCAGTAAATCTAAAGATAAGTCTTGTCTGGATGCTATAAGGAACTGAATGGCTGAAAATTATTTAAGTACACATTATATTTTGACAAAATGTAATTGTTGCAAACATTTTAACTGCTGCACTACACGCCACTTTGAAACATACTCCTCTGTTCTTTAACCCGTTCCCTGGCAGCCAATTGATCAGCGCCTCACTGGAGAGTGTTAACAGGTTAAATATAATTTTCTTATTTTAGCCACCCAATATAATAACTATCTGTTTTTCTTGTTTTTTCTTGTGCCCCTCTAGACGTGTGTCCGGTGGGCATGATGTTCATGACAGCAGCTGAGTGTGAGGCTCAGGGGGGTGCGTGCCCACGGGTGTGTTTGGACATGACTACGGAGGTGCAGTGTGCCACAGCCTGCTATGACGGCTGCTACTGTGGCCCGGGCTTCTACCTGTTCAACAGCAGCTGTGTGCCTTTGGCTCAGTGCCCATGTTACCACGACGGGGAGATGCACCCGGCCGGCACCACCCTGCCCATTGACACCTGTAACAACTGGTACCTGTCCTTCATAGATCATCAAATTCAAACTGAAGTTTCAGCTTTAAAGAAAACTACTGTAACAGCAGGGACATGGTTCACTTTTAAACGCTGCTGTTTTCTAATGTGTGTCTCAAACAGTACCTGCACTAACGGAGAAATGGAATGTGGAACAGTTCCTTGCCCAGGTGAATGATTGATCATGAATTGTTTTTGTTCTTATCTTAAAGGGGCAATATTATGTGTTTCTCAGGCATACATTTAAACACTACGCCATTATAAAGTATCCATGTCACCTTTAGCTGTTATTAAAATGCTGTTTTTATA